AGGCCTGTCTAGCTGCACAGGACCAGACTACCCCCCCCACACACCCCCCAGCAGGGACTCTGGGCACAGCATCCAGCTGCCCTGCCCTCTCCATGTGCCCTTCCCGGGGGGCTGGGTACTGCTCTGCTTGGCAGCAGCAGGATGGGCTGCCTGCTCCCCTATCCCACCCCCAGGCTGGGTAAACTGAGGCCGGCCGGCCGCATCTCTGACCTCAAGTCAAGGACCGAGACACCAGACAGCTCTCCAGATGGGGCCTCGTGCTGATCAGCCCCCGCCCCACCCCATGGCTTTGGGGCTCCCCTGCTCCACGGCCCCCAGCTTACCCTGCTCCTTGCCGGTGCCGGCCAGCGTCACGGCGCTCCTGCTGCGGGCCAGGAAGGAGAGGGTGGGCGTCATGAGTCGGTCCACGATGCTGCTCTCCCAGGGGCTCAGCTGCAAGCTCCGGTCTGGCAAAGAAACAGTGTGTGTGTGTGTGGGGGGGCAGATCTCAGCACCTAACTGGGCCCAGGTGTGCCCCCGCCCTCAGGCCCTGCATCCCCACTGGCACCAGCTGGCTAAACACCCTCCCGCCCCACCTCCCAGGTCCAGCACCTCAGCAATGCCCTACCCCCTCCTCCCACCCGTCCCTGGAGAGCCCCTCATGGTCCAGCTGGCCTGGGTCAAGGCCCCGCCCCACAGTAGCTGTCCCATCTTTGCACAGGCTCAGCTGGGCTGGGCCCCTCCCCGCAGCCCCCTGCCCAGGACTGACCTGCCCCACCTCCACTGAGCCCTTGGCGCAGCAGGGCAAGGGGGCAGATGCCCCGGAAGGCCTGAGGTTCCCGAGTCACAGGGTGCAGGGGGAATCACCGGGGCAACATGCTCTCAGCTTAGGCAAGGAGCCTCCAGTCTTGCTGGTCCACGGAGCCGGTGCCACTGCAGAGCCGCCCTCTTGCACAACCCGGTCTCAGCACAGGGCCAAGGACCGAGCCGAGCACGGGGCCCACGGCCCTGCTGCATCGGGGCCGCTACCCAGGCTGCCCCTTGCCAACACCTCCCCCAGCCTGGCGCTCGCCACAGGGAAGTGAGGGGCAGCCGGGCAGCCACGGACACAATGGGATTGCAGGGTGGCAACGGGGCAAGCAGTGTCTAGGCCAGCTCCTCAGAGGCAGGCAGGGCATTCACCCCACTGGCGTCCGCACAGACACTGCCTGCAACCGCCGCGCGGGCTCTGGGGTAGGCAAAATGTCGCATTTCGGTGGCGGTCTCAGACCATGCGCCTGACGAGGGGAATAAGTCCTAGAGGATGATTTGCTTATGCTTGTTTGACCCTGCCAGCTCCCCTTCCTGGTGAGACGATGTTTGCTGCCAGTTAAATTGTGCCTCCTGTCTGCCTTCGCACAGACACTGCCTGCAACCGCCGCGCGGGCTCTGGGGTAGGCAAAATGTCGCATTTCGGTGGCGGTCTCAGACCATGCGCCTGACGAGGGGAATAAGTCCTAGAGGATGATTTGCTTATGCTTGTTTGACCCTGCCAGCTCCCCTTCCTGGTGAGACGATGTTTGCTGCCAGTTAAATTGTGCCTCCTGTCTGCCTTGCCAGCTAAATCGTGTAAGATTCTTGGTGTTGCTGTAACCCTTTCTGAGACGTAACCCTCGCTGTACCCCTCGGCAGAGCTTCTTGTCGGGCAATTCCCCGTGCGCTGGTTGGGGTGAGCGGGGGACGGGTGCGGCGGTAAGGATGAGCGTGGAGGCCGTCACGAACGCCCGCGGGGTCAAGAAGTGAGAACCTTGAAGACAAGCAGGCAGCATCCACTGTGCGCGATGCTCAAATTAAATGAGCAGAATCGACAAACCCTGGAGACAGGCAGAGAGCCCCAGGGAGAGACGACAAACAAGAGTTAACGATGGGAAGCCAGACAAAAGCCATCCAAAGCGAGTGCAAACCCCCGAGGTGAATGCCGCTTAGGGATTCATGGTGGCAGCATGACACTGCAAAAGCCACAGAGTCAAATGGGAATGGACACGTATAAAAGCGGGGTGCTCTTGCCAGGGAACTCTGGGTTCAATCCTGCCTCGGAGCTTCGGATCAGGACCAACAGACCCAGCGCCTCACTCACGTTTGATCTATTCTGTGTGTGTGTGTAACTAGACGATCACCTGCAGCGAGCGTTCGTGTTGCTTTTCATGTTGCCTATGCAGTCAATGCAGCATGCTGCCTTTTCCCCGCAAAAAGATCCCGTGTGCTTCTCATCAGCATCACACTAGGCCCAGCCCCACAGCCTGTACACCTCGGCTGTGGGGCACTGGCTTCCATCATCCCACGGCACGGCCGCCCCCGGGCCCCTCCTTGGCGGCCCC